GTGTCGAGCCCTTAATGCTGCTACCACAGTGTTAGGAGAGTTAGCTACCACATCCATGTTGTTTTCAATGAACACATGTTGAATTAAAATTTTAAACACCATCCTTCGCAGCGTTAGCAGCGTTAGCATTTGCTTTTGTCGCAGGCTGATGACATCACAGCAAAGGTTCCAATCCATGCCAACATTCTTAAATGTAAGCTTTATCATTTAACTGCAACATTTAAGATTTAACTTTTCGGTTTGGTAGCTGACATTTAGAAATAGCATTTAAATTTAACATTTGGTAAAAATTAGTTAAATGTAAGAAGAGTGAGATAATGAAATAAAGGTAGAAATTCTTTAACTAGGATTTTATGCTTAGAAAGTGAGGTAAATAATGAAAATGTGTCATTAAAATGTGACGTTCTTTAACATTTTATTTTACACTTGGCAGCCCAGAGGGAATGTGGAAATGTAACATCACTGCAGTGCGATTGTGATTAGCCCCATAAAAATCACTCAGAGTTTCCTCTTTCCAGAGAGATCTTAAAAAAATGTAATAGCTTTACAGAAATGCCGCAGCTAAGAGCTGAAACGTTTTGATGTTTGAGATAAACYATTGTTACGAAATGAGCCCGACTAAACCTCGGGGATGAATGGCGAGGGAGAGATTCAGCTTTTAATTGCATTAGGACTCAGGGACGATGAGATTAGCTGGTGAGAACACAGAGTCAGAAGAAAACCAGCCCTGGAGATTAGGTGGCCTCTGGCTCTGATGTCCCGAGGACCTGCTCTGTTCATCGGCCGCTTGATATGGAATCAAAAATAAACCTAATCAGGCAGATTTATGAGAGCCGGACGAAACGAATTCAGGGTTTTGTGCATTAACGTAATGAGAAACAAATAAAATATACGATTTGGAACAGAGGAGGTCAGCCAGCACGCTCTCCTCAGGCCGACCATCACTGACCAAGGAGGCGCAGACTGAGTGCTAATCTCAGGGTTTGATTCTTATTCTGAGTCCTCGCTGGACGAAGCTAATTCTCTAACACTGTTCCAGTCTCAGATTAGCTAGAAAAAGTTCAAGGAAGCAGCTTTGGGTCACATTAGACCGTTGCTCTGTACATGTGCACCCTTTTTAGAACTCAAGACAGAATGTTCTGAGTTTCAGCACATCTTCATTCTGCTATCACTTTGTTTTTTAATTCAGTTGTAATTAAATGTGATTTGTTATAATCCCATTTTCTTACAACCAACTCTGGACCTCGTGGTTAGATTTTTTACAGGATTAGCTGCAGCAGAGCTAAACTTCCTGTGTCCAACAGTGGAGATGTTGTGTTTAGTTCTGTTCTTTGTGTTTTTATTTAATTCTCGGTATGTTTCCTGTACACCTACACCTGTTCTGTTTGATCAGTCACAGCTGCAGCCACTCTACTCATCAGCCCCCATTCTTCTAGCCTCTCAGCTTCACCTCACCGTACATGTCAATCTGTATGGATTGTCCATAAATTAAACCCATTTTACACCAAGCACCATCTTTACAAACACAAAGAGAAAAAAAAAACACAAATTTTATGAAAAACTCGTCTTC